CTGGTGATTGGTCCAAAGTCACCCAGCTGGCTTTCATGCCTAAGACAGGACTAGAACTCACCGTCTCCTGGTGGTTGGTCCAAAGTCACTCAGCTGGCTTTCATGCCTAAGACAGGACTAGAACTCACTGTCTCCTGGTGGTTGGGCCAAAGTCACTCAGCTGGCTTTCATGCCTAAGACAGGACTAGAACTCACTGTCTCCTGGTGGTTGGTCCAAAGTCACTCAGCTGGCTTTCATGCCTAAAACAGGACTAGAACTCACCGTCTCCTGGTGGTTGGCCCAAAGTCACTCACCTGGCTTTCATGCCTAAGATAGGACTAGAACTCACCATCTCCATGTGGTTGGTCCAAAGTCACACCCAGCTGGCTTTCATTCCTAAAACAGGACTAGAAATCACCGTCTCCTAGTTTCTAGCCTGGTGCCTTGACCACTCCACCAAAACAGCTCTCTAGTTACACGCCTTCCTTCCTGGCGTTTGGAATTCACTACCCGTGGCTTTTCATAGCTGAGGAAGCCGGCGGTGTTGCATGCCACACTTCCTCCGTAGATAAGGCCTCTTATTTGTTCACGCCACACCGCACAGGTTGTGCCAAGCCATCCGTCTGCTAATTAACAGCAATCAAAAAGAACGATGAAGTCTTAATAACCCGACGTTACTCGGTGTGCCTCTCAGAGGACAACCCGCCTTAGGTGAATTTCACAGGTTGTGCTACGGTTAAAACACGCCTGTTGCGTTACACGGGGCTTGGGTAACTCTCCCTTGCTCGAAGGAATCGGCGATCCGGAGCGTTGTGTTACGAGACGGTGTTGTTGTAACCTGCCCATCGGCTCGGCTGGCTGCGCCCGCTTTGAGTGGAGAAGGATGATGCGATAGTTCGCTCATCCCCTTTCATTCATGGATTGTGAGAATGTCACCTGGGAGGGTGTGACAGAACCTGGCTGTACACGGCGGTGATTGGCCCGACACCGCTGACATCACAATCGCACCCATTCCTGGGAGGCTGGCTGTGTTTGGAGGTGTTTTTAAGAGTTTACACGCACTGCGACGCCGAAGGAAGGAAGTGAACATCCAACACTTGACTAACAACAGCTGCTGATCTGTAGGCCTGCGGGAGAAATTGGGAAGGTGGGATAAGAAAACATGAGCTAATGTTGTTGTTGTTTTCAGAAGATCACAAATAATCACTATCTGAGTTTGGGTGTGAGACCGTAGTGTGTTTAGACTAGTGTTTCTCAGTCTTGGCGATCTGAGATGGGTTATGGGTGGGTTTCAACTACCAAACTGCCGACCTTTCTGATTGACAAGCTCAGCGTCTTAGTCACTGAGCCACCGCGTTGATCAGAAGGTCGGCGGTTCAAATCCCTAGCGCCACGTAAAGGAGTGAGCTCCCGTGACTTGTTCCAGCTTCTGCCAACCTAGCAGTTCGAAAGCACGTAAAAAATGCAAGTAGAAAAATAGGGACCNATACAGGTATATAAATGTTTATAAATGGTACCTGTTTGCTGATGGCAGCTTCTAGCTCTGGATAACCTGCCTTGTCAAGTTGTATACTTGGGAAAAGATCTTCTATCAAACTCAAAAATAAGGGTTCATCTTCATCTATCTGGCAAGAAAAAGTGATAGGAAAATTAGTGCTTTCTATCATGTAATATTTAACGTAAGTACCTAGTACCAAATTCACAATTTTATACTGTACAGAAAAACAACACTTCACTAATCTAAATATATTTCTACTGAGTTGCTGGTAAGAATAATGCACATTTTACACATCTGGGTCAGAGAAAGGGCAGAGCAAATAAAACTGAAACATTATCAAGGTAGGAATTGTTAAAGGAACAAATGATAAGAATTTACAAGGGCCCAGAAGTTGGTGAAAAAAAACGCTAACATCTGAAAAAAATGTATTCAGAAAGAGTGCAAAATGAAAGGTAATTGGTTTCAGACCCATCAACTTCCGGAGAGGCAGGTACGCTGCGTGTGAAAAATTATGTTTCAGAAACTGTTTGCAAGGAAAGGGAGGAAAAATAACACCTGACAAACAAGGTGGTTTATAGAAAGTTAGGGTAAGAAAACACTAAATAATGCCAAAAGAAGGAACTTCAACAAAAACCAGGGAACCAGAGAAAATGCTAGCTCTCAATCAAAACAAGGATTTAAATCAGCGTTTGGAGCCACAGAAGATAGGGAGTAATCTGCTGTATGTTACAGCAGAATGACAGAGGAATTGTCTTGAAAAGAAAATTTGTAGCCTATAATATTCTGACTGATTTCTCCACTCAACCCTCGAAATATGAAAAAAAAATGTTCATTCATTCATTCAGTCACCCATTTGGAAGTTCAGTATATAGTATTGTTCTGCCCCAAAAATAAGCACAAAGCCAATGGATTTTGGCAGACTATTAAAACGACGGTGAAATACAGCAGGAAAACAAATTTGCAAACTAGAAATATCTGGGCTGAACATAAATGACTGTCAGCCCTCCCAGGCAAACAAGACAAGATGAAGTAATTCTATTTTCTTGTCAGAACACATTAACAGAATCTCGCAACTCTGAAGGCACAAAGTTCCTGCCTCCCCTTTTAACTACTTGATCCATTAGGGTACATCTTTCCTACATTTCTTCCTCCGACTGTTAAGCC